TCTTCTATTTCCTGCAGGCGTTTTTCCAATAACTCAGCTTGCCTCTTCTGCTTCTTTTTCAGTTTTTTCTTTTTGTTTTTCGATATTTTTCCTATCTATGGCATGTCAAAAAAAAAAAAAAAGAAAAAGGCAGAACGCCACGATCAGTTTGTTTCTTTTTAAAGCCCAGCACAAAATCACAAGTGCCAGCAGCACCGCAAACACTAATAAATCAATAATCCCTCTTACAAGGCCATTTCGGTCACAATCACCCACCCAGACACAAGCCTTGCCTCCCTGTCAGGGATGCATCAAACCAGAAAATGGAGAGCAGAGCTGGCTAACATCAAGAACTAGGTCTACGACTCTTGTGTCCGGCTCGGGCTCAAGAAGGATATGCACCCAAGACCAGTGAGCCTCCTCCTTTAGGCTGGAAAGGGAATTGGGGAAGCTGATGTACTCTTGCTCTTGGATAAGAAGCCCGCTTACACGGTGTACTTGTGCTACCTCTATACAAAGGACGACTTCCCTTTCCTCACTCACTGCCTTAACGCCCGCCAAGCAGGTAGAGTTCACTGTTAGCCACAGCACCGCTGGGGCTCGGGCCTCACCTACAGAGCAACTGTCGACAGCCAGGGTGACACAAACTGCCAGAAATGTGCATATGAAGCAACGGCAAGGGAGGCGGGGACTCCAATCACAGTCGAGAACTTATAAGTGGCAGTGGGGGCCTCTACCCTTTCACAGAATCAGCCATCAAAATAAGCAGCTGGTGCAGAGGCAGGACTATGGAGGGGGACTCGGCCTTCTCTGCAGGCAGGACACCATGCAATCACCACAGCACCCAGGGGTGCGGGCAGCACTCTGATCTTCCAGGCAGTTTCTTTCAACAGCACATAGCCTGCCCCTCTGTTGGTCTCGGTCAATTTTGGTAAGATTTCATTTTACACAGCCTGTTTCAACAGATCTGATTTACTGTTCTACCCCAAGCACAGAGCGAATAGTGCCTTTTTGTATTTTCCAACGTATGTGCGCGTTAGATCACTACTTGATAGCCAATCAGATAGAACGCAAAAGCAATCACAATTCAGTCCCTACTCTATAACTTTACCAGCCTTGTCCAGCACACACAGAACGTCTGTATGAGAAGATATGAAGACCCATTGCCGGCACAGGTGCCACTGGGGCTGGTGTCTCCCGAAGGTCCACTCTTGTACTAACCCACACAGAATTCTCAGTCACGTCTATGATCGCCTTCAGTCACAGAATACTATGTAGAAACACAGCTGCAGACAGCTGAGGATTTCTTACATGATGCAAATGTTAACAAAACTGTTTTTATAACCTTTCCACACTGAATTACAACATGGTTAGTAACTGACAGCTTTTAATATTTCTCCTCCTTTTCTGTTAACTACTGCTTCATTCCCCAATTGATACAGGTCCACAAACACACTAATCACCATGAAAATATAACAAAACCAACCAGGAAAGCACCGGCGGCCACAGAGCAAGTCAGCAGGTGCTCCCCGCCCCATCGAGGTGACAGTGCCATTGGGGAATGATGACAGCTCCTATGGAAGTCCTAGAAGGCTCTAACAGAACATTGTTGCAGAGTGTGTGTTTTTGTTTTTTTTTACATTGTCGCAGAGTTTTAACTGATGCATGTAACTGGGCTTATGAACAATGTTTTTGTTGTTGACAACAAATTACAGGGACATTTTCATGAAAAATAATGAATTTCTCCTGAAATGGCAAGAAAAGCTTCAAGATACTCATTTCGGTGTGCCCCTGACACGAGTGGGGTCCACAACCGTCTGGGCTACCACCCATCTTGGGACAACACTAACCTTTGCAGCTCCGTAGGACCTGTGCCCAGGGACACCACCATTTCATGATACAGTCAAGGTTACACAGTATTCATGCACATGTCCACCTTTGACATGTACGGACACGAGAAGATCTTCAGCAGTTTGAGGGAGGAACAAAAATTCACCACCACCTAACCGCTGCTGGGGACGAAACCAAGGCTTTGGAGAGTTCAAGAAAGCAAAATCCCTTCCTGACAGGAAGGTGAATAAAAGCACGTTTTTAGTACTTACAGGTTTTTGTTGTGGGGCCGTACTCACTAAAATAAAACAAAATGAATGTTTAGAGTAATATGGTTACATAGTATCATTCTGTACTTTTCAATCTAAAATGGGGTACTTTCTCTTAATGGTTACTACTTTAAAACCCATTAAAATACCACATTTTCTTAATCACGGAGATCTAGTTTACCCAACTCAAAAGCCTGACTCTTAAAAGGCAGATACTGTTCACACTGTCATCTCTTATTTCCCTAAAATGAAATATCATATGCATTCCTGATAAAAAAATCAATCCCCAGACACCAGCTGACAACTGAAGGACGTGAAGGCTAGTTCATACATGCCTATCACTGACAAAGGTTTATGGAACAACCCAGTTAAATGAGGAGATGTGCATCTATATTATCATGCATGCCACAGGCACAACCAAATGCTGCAATGAGTGGTCTAGCCATGTCTAGAAACCACTGCATTCACTGGGTAGATGATCTAAAGCCTTAAAGGACTTGCTCACAGTAAAGTCAAAGTTGGCGTTCCCGGTTTGCAGCCACCGTGGGTCTCCCTCTTCCCTGCCGTTCCTCCACCTTGCTTAGCCGGGGTCCTGCAGAGCTCCAGTTATTTCACCAAACAAGCTCTTACAAGCCAAGTCTCTAACTCATGCATGTCTAATTCAACTGCCTCCAATGTGCAGTTCTCATGATCCCCAAACCGAGAAAGCAGCTCTGGCTCAGCCCCCTCACCTGCAGACCCAGAAGGAGGAGGAGCACCTGCTTTCTGCCACTCAGTGGCCTCCGCGGCCATCCTTCTCACGTAGGCATCGTCCACGCACATTAGGATGTTCTCAGGCTTTATGTCCGTGTGAACGATCTTGCATTTACTGTGCAGATAATCTAAACCTTGAAGGACCTGTTCACAGTAAAGTCAAGAGAGGTCGTGAACGGGCAATCCTCAATCCTTTACTACTTAATTTTTATCCATTTATACAATAGGTCATATAATCATAGGTTCAAAATTCACAAGATACAGAAGTGAAAGTCAATTCTACACCTCTTCAGCCACAGAAATCCAGTTTTCCTTCCTCCAAGAAACCCGTGTGTCATTCCAGGTGTAATTTATGCTCATTAGAAGGAAATCTATGAGTGTACACATATATTTTTATAACAATGTTACTGATATTTCAAATACCACACAATTCACCACTATGTGCATAAGCCAATGCTTTTGCTATGTTCACCAAGTTTCCACCTTTCTCATGGTCTTATTTTAGGATATTTTCATCACCCCAAAAGAAAATCCTATACCCATCTGCATTAATTTCTCATTTCTCTCAACTCCTTTGCTGCAAGTAACCACTAGTTTTTCTATCTCAGTGGGTCTGGAGACTTCAGATTTTAAAAAAATAGCACATATGATGGGCATGTTTTTAAAGATCAACCCATGTTGTAGCATGTGTCAGTAGTACACAAACAATACTATCAAGTAATTCTCCAATGTGCCACATTTTCTTCAGCCATTGAATTGACAGATATTTAGGCGGTTTCTCTTTTTTGGCTATTATGAATAAATGCTGCTACAAACATTTTTTGGGGGGCGTTTCTTAAATCTTTTTTCTTCAACTAGTAAACTGAGCTGCCATGAATTTCCTAAAAAGTAAACAGTAGAGTGATATAAACTATTTTGAAATGTGTCAAACATCTTGAAAAACATGATTATGATGTCTGAATTTTTAAAATCATTTTATTGGGGGCTTGTACAATTCTTATCTCAATCCATACAT